CTCGCGGACACTAATTTTGCGAGCCCGACCCAACACTACTACACACCTGAGAAAACACGATTTAAAAAAATGCGTCTCAAATAAAATGTATTTTTGACAGGGTTACTGCAGCACATATAGATTTAGTAGAAGTTAACCCCCCAAAATCCATATTTCATGATATAATGATAGAAATTTTGCGAACAAAATAAAAGTTTAAGATCCTAGAAAACACAAGTAGTAAACACTACATAACACTAATGTTTACATTGCATTGTAACATACAGTCAAGTCTAGCACTCAAATTGCCAACATGCGCCTAGAAAACAGATTTTCAGGTCCTGAATACACTATATTCTTCGTAACTAAAACACTTACATGATAGCAAGATTCAAAATAAAAAGATTTTTTACGCCCTGCCCATTTCGCTACAAGCATGCTAGACTGTATTTTCTTCCTCTTGTGACAACTTACTTGCACAGAGAGTTGACTTTGACCATGGCAGTGTGTGATTTCTCAGTAAGTTGCTTAAGACGCTTTGCCTCCTCCCTCCGCTGTTCTTCCACACGGTCCAGTTCAGCATCCAGTTCTTGTAATGCCAAGAAATAGCTGCCACAAAAGAAATGGGAAGGGCACTTTGTACAAAAAATATCTCTTGAAAAAGGCATGTCATGTGAATGAGTGATTTTTTGTCCCAGCACCAGGCATGTATGAAGCAATCAGAAAAACCCCTTATTAAAATATTATAACAACAAAACCTACCAGCCAGATACTGAAATCATGGTATTATCACAAAATACAATTTGAAAATTACGTCCCACTTATAATTACAAGAAACTCTGGCAGTCCCAAAGCCACGGAGTTGCAGCCTTTATTCTCATCACACAGCTTCCTCACCTGGTTTCTGAGGCATCTTTTACATGAAGAGATCCACCGAGCTTTGCAAGAGTCAAAAGACTGCTGGAGCCAGACTGTGAAAATTGTTCTTGTCCAAGGCTTAGACGACCCAGAACAGCAGCTAAACGCTGAGCTTAAAGACAAAGACAACCAGAAGACAATTACAAAACTGGTGCAACAATAGGAAACATCAAGTTACATGTTACACGAAATATCTAACCTGTCACAGATCCTTACTTGTGCTGGAGGCCCCCTCCCCGGCTCCTCCCTTTGTATCAACCTTGAGCATGTCCCAGTTTTACTTAAATGTTATTTTGGCCAGTATTCTTCTCATGATAAAGTTAGACCAAATTCAATATATGGTTTACAACATTGACAAATGTTATAAAGAAAGCAGAGTTTTCTATGGAAATGTCCTTCTAACTGATTCACATAAATTTTCTGAAAACTGAGTGTTCAGTAACAAATTTTAACTTTACTATGCTTTCACTTTCATTCACCTTATTTTTCAATCAATCTGCATCAGACTTTTTGCTAATTGGAAACAACATAGTACATAGTTTTGAAAAATAGAGGGTCCAACAGGTTGAATTTCTTCTTAAAAAATCAGATCAACATGAGGATCAAGTTTTACTACCATACATTCTCACCATCCTTTTTGCTATTATACATTATCCACAGTCTAAAATACAAAATAAGGGGATCAATGTTGTGAAACTTACTAAATACAACAAAACTGAACAATACCTTCAGCATTGTATTCTTCACATTTTTGTTGTAAGTCATCAATAAGTAACTGTACATTTTTGTCATTTTTTTTACATAGAGTAGAGAGTTGGTACAGGTGGGAGATTGTGTCAGCATTCAGCTCAAACTCAGGTACAACTTCATCACCATACAATTGTTCCAGCCACAAACTGACCTGAAAGAGGGGAGAGAAATTATTTTAAAAATTCAAAGGCACTCGTTTTCTTGTACCAGAACTGCAAATGTAAATCCTCCAGTTTATTTATCTATCTTTTTTAAAGTCTGAGGTTGTTATAATCTTGACTGACAAAGGAAACAGAAAATGAAAATTTAGTTTTAGTAAGAGTTTTATGGCACTTGCAACACATGGTCATTATATATAATAATTGCTGAGGACTAGAGGTGTTACAAGAGAGTACACACAAACACAAAAAAGGAGAGATCAGGATGATAGATGCATGACAGGAAAGGAACAAAACACACCAGAGACCCACCAACCACCCGTGGAAACAGAAAGATAGCAAACATTTGTAGAGGAAACAAAGCAAAACAGGATTTCAAGACAGTAGCAACTTGTCACTTGTAGAACCTTTGACCTACAATAAGTACCAGTTGGGTACAAGGGTACAATAAAAACAAAGTCTTTAATTCTAATAAACTCCCCAGTCCTGCCTCTGAAAGCAGTACACATTTGATTGTGGAAATAGAAAAACGAAAAAGGAGTCTTAGTCTGGGGACGTTCAGAGTTGTTGAGTTATTTATATATATGTTCTTTTTTCAAGGGTCCTGAGAGCAGATCTGACTCGAGAGGATTAGAGTCTAACTAACAGTCTGGCCAGGTCTGGCCTTGTGACAATTTTTTGCCGCTGTTGTGTGATGACCTTGCAACACCTGCAAGACCAGGTTCTCCGACAAGTGTCTGCTTTGCAGATAGTTGAGATAGAGACACAATTTATACTTTGGCCACTTCTTTTGGCTATTCTCACCCGGTGGGCGTTCACCATTATAGCCTAGGCCAACCAGTGAAGCGTTCACCCTGAACCGCAGAATTCTACACTGTGATAACAGAATTATAGAATTCTGTGCTGTGAACAAACGTTCTAGATCTATTACTACTGTTAGTGTTCGCCTAAAATTTAAGCGTGCAATTTAGTCTGTGGGCAGTGGAGAGAGAGAAAGAGAGAGAGAGAGGAGTAGCGCGAGAACTTCCGGGCAAAACAAAATGGCCACCCGCGTAGTTCGGCTCGATTCGGAAAGTTAAATAGCCGTAGCATCTTTGTAGACAACCAAATTAATTTCGTTTTCTTGTTTAAAATCCTTTTTTAACTTTGTTTTAGTCAAGTTGATTGTCCACACCAATAGACAGTATTCTGAAAGAGACAGAGAGAGAGAGAGAGAGAGAGAGGGGAAGAGTAGATCTTGCAAGAACTTCCGGGCAGAACAAAAGTTCGCGTAGTTCGGCTCGATTCGAAAAGTGAAATAGCCATAGCATCTTTGAAGACGATCAAATTAGCTTACTTTTGTGCTATAACCTAATTTTTTATTCGAAGTGACTATTTCTCCGAACTTTCGGAGAAATAGTGCCGATCTTTATTTCTCCGAACAGTTTCCGGCTTCTAGTCTCGTGATTTTTTGCCTATTTATTATTGCGAGAGATCGGCGCCAACTTTCATTCTGCCTCTGGTCTGGGATTGGGAAGGAACACCACATGGCAAGCCCGCCCGCAGACAACCTTCAGTAACACCCACCACACACCCACCACCATCATGCACATGTACACACACAAACTTATACACACACTAACTAAACATGATCAGTGGGCAACTTTTGAACGTATGACGAGCTGAGCTGAGAATGGAGAGACAGTATGAGTGAAAGAGCAGGTGAAAGGAAGAATGTACGAGTGTATCCACAGGCGACAGCACAAGACGACAACACCGACCCTCCTGGCCTGGTCCACAGCTCACTTACACACTTTACTACCACACACAGACACACTCACACTCACACACGCATGCATACACACACACACACACACAGGAGCAAATTTTTAGGTCTATTTTTTCTATTTCAATTTTCAAGAGCTAGTCTGGCTAGTCTAGACATTTTTAGATGAGTGTAAAAACGTGAAAAAGAAAGGTTTCACAACAGAATGAAATCAAAATTAGAACAGCCCATTTCAACCACAAAAATTTACAAATATTATTTGAAATAAGGGCGTGAGTACACCTGTCCGAAGAAGATTGGCTGTTTTAACACTAAATGTGCGTAATTCTAAAACAAAGTACAGGATATTACAAGTAAATTATGGAATCGCACACATTTAAGGGGCCTGCCAGTGTCAGTACATGTGATCGGTTTTGGTGGAACGTACGCTCTAACATAACACATTTAAATCTATATATTTATACATGTATATATATATATTTAGAATCTAATGAAGGTAGGAACATCAAATTAAATGACGTTACACTATATAACACCCCCCCCTCTTTTTTTCCCCATCCAAAAAAAAATTGATAGAAAAACAACACATCAGAACAATAACAAGAAAGAAAAAAATACACACTAACAAAATAAAACTCCATAAATAAAAGTAACTGTAACGTATTCAACAAATCAACGTGGTGACAACAAGTGACAAGTGAGAAAGAGACGAAGTGAAGCTAGGTGAACTTTCTTTCAAAAGTAAAGAGGTTCGGTTTCTTTCTTTTTTTTTTCTTTGACTTTTATTCTCCGATTTGGGGACCAAAAAATTGAGCAACGATTGATTGGTCGCGGCCGCGACAAACGCAGATATCTATGCTAGTTCTATGTGTCGTTATCAATTTTCGCAATTTAATAACCCTCCGTCGATCCAGACCAGACAGCATACGAGTGAACACAACACATTAAGTTTAAGAGCAGCACCCTTCAGAGGCAACACGTCATATCTGTAGCGAAAAACTGTTTGGAACTGTAGCGTTTCTTTATAAATATTTACTGCGGACATTTTTCGGACTGATTGAACCATATATTGTATGCGAACAATCTTTGGCAGGCCTATACTATAATTATAGATCTATATAATAACCGAAATTTGCGGAAAGGATGTGATTTCAGAGTGTTCGGAGAAATAGTGCCCAGCTTTATTTTCCCGAATGTTCGGAGAAATAGTGCCCAGCTTTATTTTCCCGAACGTTCGGAGAAATGGTGCTTATGATTTATCAATTTGATCATCCACACCGATAGACAGTATTGTATTCCAAAATGAGGAAAAACAGGACGTTTCACACCGGGTGAGAATAGCCTACGCTGGCAAGTCTCACCCGGTGTGAGAGGTAGATCGTATTTCTATTCTCACCCCGGGTGAGAAGAGCCACTTCCTTTTATTATAATTAAACTTTTATACTTCATTTCCTCATCACTTAATCACTTGCAGGATACATTCATGATTCGTTGCTCTCTAGAACTAGAATCTAGACTAATAGATCTAGATATATCTAGATGTAGATCTAGATCTAGATAATCTAGATCTATATAATTATATATAATATATCTAGATTCTAGATCTAGAATCTAGAATATAGATCTAGAATCTAGATCTAGATATAGATCTAGATCTAGATTAGATATAGATATCTAGATCTAGATTTGTATTTGAATACATCGAACTTACTTGCTGCCTTTTCAACCCAATATCCATGTCAGAGACAGATAATAAGCATCTAAGGCTGCATGAGAATTCAAATAATTGAAATT